CTTCTGACACCCCTTATGGAGAGCCAGGGATACTGCCATGGAAAATAAATTCATTGTATGGCCATCCCACTTAAGCTTGGATGATATTGTCACCATATTCCTGTCTGGTGATGTGATGTCTAGCAAGTATACTTGTTGCAAGTGTCGATGGATGCAAATATTAATGTCATTGCATGTTGTAAAGGATTTTGAAGGGAAAAAACTTTCCCAAGTGCTCTGGAGAAGTGATCTTATAAATCATTGCAAACTTCCCAAAGGCAGTTGCAGGAAGGAGAACTCAGTTCTTTGGAAGGACAACTGTGGCTGGATAGTCCCTATTCTTTCGGATGGTTTGGAATCAGAACTCTGTTAAGCCAGCTGTTCCTTGAAAGCCTTTTTCCCTGGGAGTATAATACAAATATTGTAATTGCTATGGGCTTTAAAAAGATCATGAGGAAACAATCACAGAATCCTTGAGGTAAATTCTTGAGCTGGCAAATCGACACGGTAAGTCTTCTAAATGAATTAATAGGGATGGATAAGAACCTAAAAATTCCGGTTCGGGGTTTGGGGCAGCCTGTGCCAAAAATGCCGCGAACCAGACCAGCCTCTTCAGATCTGTGGCCAGGAGAAAAAGGGAGGATCACCTGGGAAGGGTTAAATGGCTGGCAGCCATTCAACCTGTCCGTTTCGCTTCTCCTGGCTTTGAAATTGGGTGGGGGGAGAGTAAAACTGACAGGTTTAAATCTCCTGGACAGCCGAACCAGACAAAAGTCCAGTAAATGTTTGGGGAAGGTGCCTTCCCCGAACATCAGTTCAAGGGCTTTGAAACAGGCCAAGTTTGTGCCAAATTTTGGCTCATGAACTGGTTCATGCCCATCCCTGTGAACTAATATGTCACATGGAAAGAGAAATGTCCCCTACCTTGCCTAGACTAAGCCTTAGTCTCTTCATATCAAAGCTCAAGGGGGGCACACAACCTAACCACTCAGAAGCAGCCAATACCCTACAGATCTATATCACTGCCCTGGCTTGAAGTCTCCCCACCACCACCCTCTTGAGCCAGGATGTTCACCTAGAAGGTCATCTGTGACTTTCTCTTGTTATTAAACTTTTCTAGAGAATGTTAATTATTGCAAAGTGCTTTGGAAGCAGCAGTGTGCCCCAGAGTCCACCCTGGAGATAGTACTATAGGAGAGCTCTTAGCTTGACCTGTAGTTATCTAAAGGACATTTTTTCCCCCAATCCTAACTGCAGGTTTTATGTGGATTATTAATGTTCATGACTGAAACAGATTGTTATCAGGCACTCCAGTCACAGGAGAATTTGGATGTGAATTGCAGTCAGGGCCGAGTTCCTGTCCCTGGAGGACAGAGTTTGGTGGAAAGAATCTGGGGCTGCACCCTGGCAGATACTCTGCTCCCCTGAAGGTAGTTCCCAGCTGAAAGTGGGGGATGTGGCTCTCCTCCCTTGGGCTTTGCCTCCAGCCACCCAGGCTGTGTAATTCTCTGTGACAGTTCAATTCAGAGTGAATCCAGCAGCTTCACAGCACCAGACACACAAAAGGTGAGCCCACTGGAGCCTGAATAATGAGCAGTGCTGCTCTCGGCAGTGGGCTGCCTGGGGGGTGTGGGGGGGGGAGGGGGCAGAATTGCTGACCCAGTGTTTCTTTCCTCAGCTCTTCTGGACATTTCTTTCCCCTACACTGAGCACGGCATGTTTCGTCCCATTCCGTGTTGCAGTCAGCCCCTCCGTGGGCTGCTGTGACAGTGGATCAGAAGCAAGAGAACTTTCCCACCTATGCCTCGCGTGATGCACTCTCGGGTTCCATGCGCGCCAAGATGCCATGGAGGGGGCTGCTTTCCCCTGCCCTGCATTTTGTGGGAGGGGGGCTGGAGCATAAGGAAATCCTGCAGACCTGTATAAAGAAAAAAATCACTGGTTAAATCTTGCAGCACAGAGATGGTACCATGGAGTTGCTGTGTGCTGGATAAAGTACACTGCTTCCTGCAAAGCATCAGGAATGGGCATCCTCCCCACTCCATTCTTCTACCCAGCCTTTATCAAAAGCATTAAGTTTTCATGCCCTAGTCCCAGCTCTGCCTTCAATCCTGGAATGTTTCCAGTCTGTCACTCAATAAAGAAAGACAGCTGTGTAGATTCCAGAAAAATACCATGCAAGCTTGGAATCTTGTATCATATCAAAATTGAAAATTTGGAAAATTTCATTTTAGAATATGTTTCCAGTCCTTAAGACTCCTAAGGCGGTGTATAATGAAAAAGCCTGAGAAGGATTTTCAGGGGTCCGAGGACAAAATTGCATTGTCATTTGTATTTTGCCTCTCTCCGTGACTAGTAAAAACAGGATAATTATGCAAAATGAGGAAAACAATTCATCTGGATTGTATAATTTTGATACGTTAGCACTGATAGTACATAGCCTGAGCTATTCATAGCATAACATTTGTTAAAAATGGCAGTTCAGGGGCTTTATAAGTAAAATACTGTGCATAAAGTAGGAAATTCTGTATTATTCCCAAGCGGTGTTTCTGTTGCACCCTCTCTTTATGGCCATTTTGGGACTGTATAACTACCACTGAATATGCAGTAACTGCCTATAGTCCAGTTCTTCAAAGCTACGATAATTAATTTGATAAAAGAGAAATGTAGCCTCGAGGCAGATTCTACATTCCAGTACCAAACCATATTGCTCCCTCTGGTGGTACTGTAGCATCCACAGTCCTTTACCTTCATGCGCTGTCCATGGCAGTATGAAACCTTGCATGTGTGTAAGACCGAATAGTATTTTGGGGTGCAGTAGCAAACCCTGTGTAATTAAATAAGGACTTTGTTTTCTGTTCTGTCTCTGCATTCCTGGCCTCCTATCTTTGGAATGGAAGATTTTTGCTATGCATTTCCTTTATTTTAGATTATTTCTTCTTCCCAGCTTGCTGCTGGGCTCTCCTGGCTGTGTAAGAATCACATGTTAAAATAATTAATTGCAGTAAGAGAAATGGCAGGTTTTTCCATAGTCTTATTCTACATAGAGGAAAAAGTCCTTCAGCAAGCAGAGCATGTTCTGCACTCTTGTCCCTTTCATTGTCTGCTCTGGTTATAACCATGGCATTTCAGATGCACATCTTAGGCACCATATACATCTGTGGGCACACCTAAGCATACATGCAGAAAACTACAGTGCACGTAGCTCTCTGTTTCATCTCTTCATTCACCTGCGGTTTCTTCTTTATGGCACTCACACACACACATATACACAAGAATCTTTTTTCCATAGCCCCTTTGTAGGGATATGGTAATAGGCTGACATTAAGAGAGCCAGCAGGGGGAGCAGCCTGCCTTCTAAAGCTCCACATGAGATCCAATTGTGCGAGGCTTTTATTTTCAATCTTCTGTTTTAGTTCTCAGAAACTGTGCCTGTTGGGGTTTCTTTTCCCACCCTGGATTCTTTTTGAACTGGATAAAGGTTCCATGGCAGCTGAGATCCCCCCAACCTCGGGGAACTTTGGCACTGGCGAGGCAGCCCGCTGAGCACTAGATAAAAGAAGCACTGGGAAATGAGGGGATGGACAGGGGGGCTGAGGAAGAGTTTGAGGGGAGTGGGGAGCAGGGCCTCGCTGTTGCCAGCAGGCAGAAGCCTTCTGGCTGTCCAAAGGCAGGAACAGCATAAATCCCACAGGCAAGATCGCTTGACCCGTTTCCATTTGGTTGCTCTGAGTATGGAATCTGGGAAGGGGCAGGGAGACGAAGAGAGTAGATTGCCCATATTTTTAAATAGGAGGTCAGAATCCTGTTCAGTTTTTGCCTCATGGTTTAGGGATGGACGGGAGTGTGTGGGGACTATCGGCCCTTTATTGGAACCAGTGACCCATGAGGAGGGAGCCAATTGGCCAGGCCAGTAGACATGTAAGTAAGTGTAGGCCTGACTGGGGCTTGCCCAGTGGCCACAATTGGAGTAGAAGGCTACACAGGAGGCTCACAGGGTGGGTTCGAGGACACCTGAGAATCAAGTAAAATTGTAAAACCTTTTGTACCCTGAAAAGTGCTTTAGAAGTTAGTAGCAGCAGTTATCCTTAAAGAATAAGTTTCAGAAGAGAGCCATGTTGGTCTGCAGTAGAACAATTAGGTTCAAGTCCAGTGGCACCTTTGGGACCAACAAGAATTTCAGGGGATGAGCTTTTGAGAGAGAGTCAAAGGTCCTTTCATCAGATGTGCGTAGGGAGCTTTGACTCTTGAAAGCTGTATATATATAAAGCTGTATAAACCTGAACCTCTTGTTGGTCTCTAAAGTGCTACTAGACTCAAATCTTAATAAGATTGTCATTACTCCTAAATGGGGGGGAGACAACTGAAGTGACCATTTGCATGAGTTAATTCACAAATTATTCAAATCTAAAAATTGTTCTTTATTGCCTAGGATTTAGGTTGGGATTCAAAAACTGAAGGACAACCTGAACGATAGCAGTAATTGGTCTCTGCCAGAGAAAGAGGAAGGATGTATTCATGGGCAGTGCTGATATAGCAGAATATTTAAAAATTGTTGCTTCTTGCTCTATGTAAAAAGTGTACACCAGTGGAGCCATATAAATAACCCAAAGTGGTGCAAACTCCCTGACTTCAAATAGGAATTTTCTATATAAACAACCCAAAGTGGTGTGAACTCCCTGACTTCAAATGAGAATTTCCTAAAGGTACAAGGGCAAGGCCAGTAGACAGGCTGTCAACTTATCAATGCTCCTGGATACAACCAGTGGTCCATTTAGTCCAGCATACTGCTTCACACTGGCCCGCCACCAGTAGCCCTGAAGAGCTAATAAACAGGGCACAGAAGCCCAAGTCTTCTCCTGATGCTGCCTCCAAACACTGGTATATGGGGGTTTACTACCTCTGAATATGGAGGTTCTAGTAGTCATTGACGGAACTATGTTTCCTCTATGTGTGGTTTTCCTTTTCACTCTTGCATGTAGGAATTTGAATCCTGAGCAGATTTCCTTTTCTTAACACAGAATGCAGGTCCGTGGACTCTTTCTCCTCTTGGTGCTGATTCTTCTGGCTGTGTCTTCTGAAGCTGGCAAGAATAAAAAAGGTGAGTGAGAGACTTCTGATTGCCTAGGGAGAAGAGGCCCTATCTGCTATTCTTTGGGGTTGTCTGAAAGTGGGATGCAGGCTGTTTTAGTGCTTTTGGGCAGGAAGGCTAAGATGACTCCTCTAATGACTGTCTGTTCCTATATTATCACTGCAGACAAGGTGAAGAAAAATGGCTCTGATTGTGAGGAATGGCGCTGGGGTCCTTGTGTCCCCAACAACAAGGACTGTGGTGTGGGCTACCGTGACGGAACCTGTAATGAGGAGACCAAGAAACTCAAGTGCAAGATCCCCTGCAACTGGAAGAAGGAATTTGGAGGTGAGTGGGCATCTCCTTCTCAGGAAAAGGCTTAAGGAATGACGCACTGTCCTAAGAGAGCTGTGGTGTGCTAGTGGGGCAGATTACCAGATGGTAGAGAATTTTTAGTTCATGGTCCAGAATGGTCATAGGCTCAGAGGGTCTGGGCAGTTGTATGTGTGCCGTACGTTAATTCATTGCTAACTTTGGAGCACTTACTGATTTGCCTTGCTTACAGTGAATTTGCATCGAGTAATCGTCTTGTTCCAGCACTTCCATATTAGAAGCATATCTTGGCAGGAAGTGGACTTTGCAAAAAAGATATGTGGCTGTGGTTTCCTGTATCTGATGTGGTCTTAGACCATGCCCTTTAAAAGCACAACTTTGTCAGAAAACTGTTGTGTTCACAGCTACTTTTAAATGTTTCAGTGTTTGTTTCTCATCAGTTATACTAACCAGGCTTGTTGGAGGCCAGGGGGATGCTGGTAGAGTGTTTTGGATCTAAAGTGAAGGAGAGGGAAAGATGAGGGGTGGTTAGGATGGAGATTGTCCTACTCAAAAGCCTACTGAGAGCCAGTTTGGTGTAGTGGTTAAGTGTGTGGACTCTAGTCTGGGAGAACCGGGTTTGATTCCCCACTCTTCCACTTGCACCTGCTGGTGTGACCTTGGGTCAGTCACAAGCTCTGGCACAGCTGTCCTTGAAGAAGAGCAGTTTGTGTCAGAGTTCTCTCAGCCCCACCCACCTCACAAGGTGTCTGTTGTGGGGAGGGGAAGGGAAAGGAGTTTGTAAGCCGCTCTGAGACTCCAAGTGAAGGGCGGGGTATAAATCCAATCTCCTCCTCCTCCTCCTCCTCCTCCTCCTCCTCCTCCTCCTCCTCCTCCTCCTCCTCCTCTTCTTCTTCTTCTTCTTCTTCTTCTCAAAATGCTGCCATAACTGGTGTAGCTTCCATACTGGTTACCCTCTGCTGGGAAGCTGAACTGCCTGGAAGTGAGCAAAATACGTGACTCTGGGCTTCTAGGCAGTGTAAGCATTGCTTAGCAAGACACAGGTCAGTAGATTTAATGAAGATATAGGTGTACAGAGCATATTCCGTAAAAAGACATGGAATTCAGCAGGGAATAGGGTCGATAGTTGGTTGATCTCTACAATTAAGCCACTTTCCATCCATCCTTTTTGTGTCTCTCTCTCCCCCCACCCTTGCCAGTCTGGTGCTACTACTGCCACCTCATGGTCATATTGATGTTCCTCTGTTAGCATTGCTATTTAACCACATAGGAGTCCTGCATCCTGTTTCATACAGTGGCCAGCCAGTTGCCCTGGAGGACCAACAGTCAGGTCGTAGAGGCCAAGGCCTTTCCTACCCCTGATATTTAGATGTTTACTGTCTCTGAATGTGGAGGTTCCCTTTAGATACCATGACTAGTAGCCATTGGTGGACCTGTTCTACATAAATGTCCCTTTTAGTATTTTTTGAATGCCATCTTTGCTTGTGGATATCACTATGTCAACTGGCAGGAAATTCCACAATTTGATTATTCATTGAGTAAAGAAGTATTTCCTTTTGTCTATCTTGTACCTATTGCCTATTAACTTAATTGGGTTCCCCTGAGTTCTAGTATTATGGCATTGGGAGAAAAACTTACATGGGAAGCTTAGGCTATGACTAGCTGGGGGAAGGGTTTACTGTCAATGGTAATCTCCCAGCTTTACTCTAACTTGGATCCCCACTGATAACTGCTGCATTTCTTAAAACCTACGCTGGTTTCATCTGTTCATAGTGTAGAAGTAACATGTCTTGGAAATTTCCAGTCTTTTTAAATGGGCCCATAAACAACAATGAAAATGGTTCTTTAATGACATACAAAATGAATTTATCATGAAGTGGCAGGTTTCCGGTTCCATAAGATTGTATAAATTATACCCAATGTGATGGAACTTGTGATGGGCGAGGGGCACGATTCAGAGCATTGTGGTGGAATCAAAGTGAATGCTCTTCATCATCTTAGGTGTCTTCTGCATATCACTGTTGTGGATGCTGTGCAGATCTAACAGTGCTTTTACCTTCTCTCCTAGCTGACTGCAAGTACAAGTTTGAGAGCTGGGGTGGGTGTGATGCTGCAACAGGTCTGAAGGCCCGTTCTGGTACTCTGAAAAAGGCCCTGTACAATGCCGAGTGTCAGGATACCATTCAAGTGACTAAGCCTTGTTCTCCTAAGGCCAAATCAAAATCCAAAGGTAAGTTACATCTCTTGGAGGGAGGTCTCTATTTTGATACTTTATGTTGCTGTTTGTCATATAATTGCTCCTCTCGGGATATTTGGAAGTTAAAATGACCATCACAGTGGGCTTGGTTAAACGTTTGTATTTGTAATTCTTCAGGAATGCATTTGTCTGAGATCAGTGTTAAGATGGTGGGAGGTCTTGGCATCATCCAAGTCTGAAACAAAACTGAGGTCATGAGCTACAATATTCACTGTTACCACTGTCCTACACAAACACACATACAGTGCAACTCATACAAGATTATGGCTTGCCTTCCCTTGGACTGGAAAGATTGCAGCTGCTTTTTTTTCTCTTTTGGTAGCTCATGAAAGAGGAGCCACCATCTCATGTCCATTGGTGCTTCTGCCATCACTCTGCTCCCTAGTAGATTTTTCACATGACCAGTTAATTGTGCATGACTGACGCTCAGAAATGACATTCTTGCTGAATAAATTCCTATTAGGTTCTTTCTTTATGCCTAATGTTGCTGTCTTTAGCAAGATAGATCCAGGAGTCTTCTCCTTATCTTATACTTCTTCTGCTGTGCCATATTGCTAGGATCTCCATGAGCCTCCTTGAATGTGGATTCTAATGAGAGATCCCCGGTCATTCTTGATGGAAGCCTTATCAGACAACTTGGCTGAGATTGGGGAGGGGCCAGGGGCCAGTGGCAGAGTTCAATCCCAAATTGAATCCCTGACACCTTCAGTTAAAAGTCTCTGGCAGCAGGTGGTGTGAAAGACCTCTGTTTGAGACCCTGGAGAGCTGCTGCCATTCTGAATAGACAATACTGCCTGATGGACCAAGGGTCTGATTCAGTATAAGGCAAATTCATGTGTGTTCATATGTTTACACACATGTCACACAAGTAATCATTGGGAAAGTCTAGTGGTGGCCAATGTTCCCTCTAAGCTGTGGAGTCTTGTGAGCAAAAATTCTACTTTGTGAGCTACTGGCATTAAAGTTGTGAGCGAGCGATTTGGCTACTGCACAAATTAGTTTGCTCTGGAGCCACCCTTCCTGAGCTAAGACAAAAATGTGTGAGCTGGAGGATAAAAAACTGTGAGCTAGCTCACACTAACTCAGCTTAGAGGGAACACTGGTGGTGGCAGGGTTTCTTTAAATACCACCACCACATTTGTGTATGGAAAATTAGAGAGAAGTTTCATTAACTTAGCCTATTTGTTTGTACTTATACACCCCCATTGCTGTTTACAAGAACAAAATAAAGATGATTCGCATGGAAGCCAAACGATATTACAGCTGTAAATAGATAAAAATAAAAAAGAATAGAGTCCAAATTTGCCAGATCCCCACAGAATAACTCTGCACCCTTCCCCTTCCTGTCTGGACCCAGAGGAGAACTGGCAGTGAGGAAGTAACATGGTACCAAGTCCCTGCTCTGATCTTGCACTCTGATACATGTGAGCAAATCTATAAAGTTTGAGGATCAGAATGAACATAAGAAACAGCCTTTTGCTGAATCAGAACATTGGTCCTTCTGGTTTAGTATTGTGTACGCTGCCTGTCAGCAGATCTCCAGGGTCTCAGGCAGAGAAAGGTCTTTGCTAACATCTGCTATCTGCAATCCTGTAACTGAAGATGCTGGGGACTTTCTGCTTGCCGAGTAGGGGTGTGTAGGGGGAAAGATCTAGATCAGATTCAGAATCAGTTTTCTTTTTTAAAAAACCTCATTTCATTTAGCATTGGTATTAAACTATTGAAGTTATTCTAATCTAATTTTTAAAAATGATTACAGCCGTCTAAAAACCAAAGTGTCAAATGGACTAGAAGAGCAGTCAAAAGCCAGTGTTCCAGAGTATATAACCAAGATCACTTTGATTTGGGAGAGGACTGTGGCTCAGTGGCTGAGCATCTGCTTTGCCCCCAGAGGGTCCCAGTTTCAGTCCTCAGCATCTTCATTTAATAGGATCAGATTGTAGGGGATGTGAAAGGCCTCAACCTGAGATCTTGGACAGCTGCTGCTAGTCAGACCTTAATAGAACCATGATCTGACTCAGGACAAGGCAGCTCTGTGAGTGTGTCCAACTAGCTTACAGTGGCACGTCATTGTGTGGAAAGAAGCAGTGGCTCTGTCAGCAAACAGCAGTTTCACCTGAAAGGCAAGTGTTGTGCTTAAAAGGGCAAACGGAAAAGGTGACAGGAATAGGTAGACTGTTTCAGCCTGTCTCCGGCTCGATTTGCTCATGGTAGCTGTTTTATTTGTGAATATGCCTAAACTATGAGTCAAGAGACTCATGGTCAGCTTGCAACTGTAGGTGCCTCCATGGGTCACTCTAATGCTTGTGTCTCTTCATTGTTTCCAACAGCCAGGAAAGGAAAGGGGAAAGACTAGAACGATGGACATAGCCCCACCATCTTCAGGGCACGATGCCTGAATCCAGTTGGACATACACCACTCGGAGCTGCAGCGTGCTCCCTCCCAGCTTGGCGATGCTTTGCCAAATCCCACTGCTCTTCTGCATGCACAACTTTGCCCTTAACCAAGATACCATTTCTAAACACTAGTTTTGTAGAGAGCAAGCCCACCCTGTTCAGAAGGAGGTGCTGTTTGCCTTCCCTTTAATTTCTCCCTTCTCCCTCCTGTATATGTACCCCAGTGTTCTTTGCTCTGGTCCTCCCCCCCCCCCAACAAAAATATTCCGCATGATGCATGTTGAGATGGATTGGGCTGAGCTAGGCTGTGGATTTGCATCTGGGATCCTTTGTCAAAGCCACATAGCCTTTTGGCACATCTCTTACAAGCTTAGCTGTGGCAGTGACTTTCCCATGTGATTTTTCCTTGCCACGTACAAATTAAGCTAGCCAAGGAGACAGCTTCATGGAATGTCAGTGGGGAGGAGGTCATTGCAGTGAGAACACGGAGAGTGCAAAGCCACAAATCTGCCCGGCCTCCTTAGTAAGGAGACCATGTGCAGTAGGAAGATTTTGACTTCTTTGATGACATTTTCGTGCCCTCAGATTTACAGGGAGCTAAATCTGTGCCTACTACCCATGGTGCTTTGTGTGTGTGCATGCATGTGGTTACTTTTCCTACGTTATCTCCCCAGTTTATATGTGCATCAGCATCACATTCTGTTGGAGGCTCCCCACCTGGGGAGAGGACTCTGTGGGTGGTGGTGGTGGTGGGGATTTCCTCTGAGTTGTTTTGCCCCGTTTTTTTGACAGCAGGCCATACCTTCTATCTCTTTCTGCACCCAGAAAAGAATCTTCTACAGAGTTAATGAGCATTGTTTTTCTTTCAGTCATTATGTCTTCATTCCTTCTGTCCCTTCTTATCTGTATTTTTGCTGTGACGCTGCAGCCTTTCCCTACTTTACTGGTGCTGGGGAAAGCCCTCTCTGCTTTTTACATCCCTCCCTTTTTCCAATAAAAGTCTTTTTACAAAAAAAACTCTCCTCTTTTGTGTCCTGTTTCTCTGCAAGGTGCTTTAAAGGCCATATGATTAGCTACAGGAGTACTGACTATGTGGGAGGATGACAGCTATCACTGTGATTGTGGAGGGTCACTGGATCTAGGGCTGCTGTGTGACCATAAGAATGTCCGAGAGAGGAAAGGGGGCCAGCCCTTCAGACTTGACAATCCTAGGTAGGAGGCCAAAAGAACGGCGAGAGACATTTGACTGGAGGGCAGGGAGCTCGCTTTCCATTCAGAGTTCTCTAGTTTTAGGGCAACGAGTGAGATGCACAAGACAGCAGGGCATTTGAAATAGCCACTTGAGGCAAGGTGAGGATAAACATAATACTTTGGCTGCCAAAAGTACTGTGATAAGATGTTGTCAGGTTCCACATATGTGTTAGCTAGCCCAACAGGGAAAGTGTCTTGTGTAGCACTTACCTTTGAGATTCATTTGTCTCCTCGGGTCGAGGATCTCCTGCTCCAGGACAGGACGAAAAGAGGGATAAGGCACCAAGGGCTGTGTTAGTTGCGTTCCCTCTAAGCTGTGGAGTCTTGTGAGCAAAAATTCTACTTTGTGAGCTACTGGCATTAAAGTTGTGAGCAAGCGATTTGGCTGCTGCATAAATTAGCTTGCTCTGGAGCCATCTTTCCTGAGCCGAGATGAAAATGTGTGAGCCGGAGACTAAAAAACTGTGAGCTAGTTCACACTAACTCAGCTTAGAGGGAACACTGGTTGCAGCCCCTTGCTCTGAAACAGGATTGTAGTGGGTTGTAGATTTAGTTTCTCCCACAAGGTAGCTGGAATCACTCGCTTCCTATATGCTGCTTGAAGACAGTCCTGGGAAGGGTAGCCATGCAGAAGGCCAAAGTGATTGCCTCCCACGCAAACACCTTTTGTGTTCCTGAAGAATTTCTGTTCTATAATAAGCTACAAACAGAATTGAAACTGGTCCCACAACCAATGTAAAATGATGTGGTTGTAACAATCTGGTAATAATTGGACTAACAGACAAGATCCTAGAGTTATGTCAACTTGAAAGTGCTATTCACCAAAAATCCTACTTTCCCAGCAGTTTATAGCTCCTTCTTTTGCACACTTAATCACTTAGTGGACCTGAATGGATCCTTAATCAGTTCCGGGGTGGGGGAGAAGGGGGTGTTAAATACTGTTTTTATCTTTGTAAAATGATTGCTCATTATTTTATTTTTCAATTTTTTAAATCATCTGTGTACATAAAGATCAATGAGAAATCATTTCAATTATTTTTGGTGATTTCATAACTGCAATTAATGATGAAATAAAATTAATGTGAAATTGCTTTGCAGCAAATGAGAAAAGAGTCATTAAAATCTCTCCCTTCAGAAAATGGAGCTGATTAAGGGTCCATTTGAGGAGATGGGGCACTAGAGCTTTGAACATGAAGAGCAGAGACAAGGGGGTCTATTATGGAAGATAGTAACCCTGAGTAAATCTTTGTCAGTCCATATGTGGACAGGCAGGCACTGCAACAAAAACTTTTGTGAAACAGAATCACCACAAATCAGGTCTAGAAAAAATGAGAGACCCTCATAAAAAACCCCACAGGAATGTAATGGATTTTATGGATTCTCCACCAAAAAAGAAAAAAGGTAAAGGTTCCCTTGTTCAAAAGCCAGTCGAGTCCGACTCTAGGGTTGCGGTGCTCATCTCTGTTTCAAAGCCGAAGAGCCAGCGCTGTCCGAAGACGTTTCCGTGGTCATGTGGCCGGCATGACTAAACACCAAGGCGCACAGAACACTGTTACCTTCCCACCAAAGCGGTACCTATTTATCTACTTGCAATTTCTTGCTTTCGAACGGCTAGGTTGGCAGGAGCTGGAACTAGAGGCGGGAGCTCACTCTGTCATGCGGCAACTCGGGTCTCGAACTGCTGAACTACTGACCTTCCACAGCCTGCAGTTCAGCATCTTAACCACTTGAGCCACCGCAGCTCCTAAAAAGAAAGAAACCAAACGAATAATACCTGTTCCAGACTAAATGGCTAGTGTAGAAGCAGCCGCAACTGGTGAGAGAGACTTCCTGCTGTGATTCAGAGACTACTAAGCTAGCAAATAGGTAATGAAGCATGCGCCTGTTAAATATAAATCCACAGTTTCTCAAATGTGTTGCCTACCTTTCCCTCACAGAAGCCCTGAAACATGAATACATAAAATTTAATAGAGGCATAAATTAAAAATTCATTTAAAATTAATAAAATGCAATATTACATTAAAGGAAGCTGGTAAAAGGTAAAGATTTCCCTTGCTCGAAAGCTAGTCAAATCCGACTAGGGGGCGGTGCTCATCTCCGTTTCCAAGTCAGCGAGTCGGCGCTGTCCAAAGACTTCCCTGTGGTCATGTGGTCGGCATGACTAAATGCCAAGGCGCATGAAACGCTGTTACCTTCCCACTGAAGCAGTACCTATTTATCTACTTGCAATTTCTTGCTTTCTAAAATGCAATATTACATTAAATGAAGCTGGTAATCACTAGTTATTTTGGTGAGGGGGAAAGAGACAATGATAGGCACTCAAAATTGTATTTTTGTTGGCTGTAATAGTCAGTGCTCTAATATATTTAAGGCTATACAGCTTTTCTTTGCGTGAATATTTGACCACCAGCTATTACTACAGGTAGTTAGGGGAAATCAAAATAGTAGTTCAGAAGGTTCACACTGACTCATGTATCTAGATTAGGTGTGAAATATTTCATTGGAGACCATGCAACCATATATATTGACAGAGGGTGAAAAACTTTGAAAGAGTGGCCCAGCATGCTATACCCGGGCATTTCCTGGGATCAGAAGGCTCCCCAGGCAAAAACTGAAAGGACACCTTGCTTTAACCAATTGCAGAAATGGGGCTAGTTGGTCAGGTAGGTTTACCGGGTTCCCCCTGGCCACCAGTGGGGGATGGGGGGTAGGGTTGTCAGATCCAGGTTTGGAAACTCCTGCAGATTTGGGAATGGAGCTTGGGGAGGACAGGGACCTCAGTGGGGTACAATGCTACAGAGTCCACCCTCCACAGGATCCATTGTCTCCAGGGGAACTGATCTCTGTTGTCTGGAGATGAGGCGTAATTCCGGGGGATCCCCAAGTCCCACCTGGAGGCTGGCATCCCTAGGCTGGTGGCTCCATTGTCTTCCAGTGCTTCAGGAGCAAGGTTTTTTGGGGTGCTTCAAGGTTGTTTGTTGCACAGCTTCAAGGTAGTGAAGCGCTAAAATAGCTATTCTGGTAATAGAGTTCTGCAGATTACACAGAGATTAAACGCAAGGTTCAGCTCGTTGGGCATTGCCCTGCAGGCCACATTCCCAAGAGGTCTCTCTTAGCCCTCCAGTCTGCTTCCAATCATCCTGCAGCATTTCCAGTCCTGAGTTTGTCTGGTAGCAATTATGCTGCATTAACTCAGGAATTTCAGGGCTCACAAGAGCCTAAAGCGGGGATTTTGCTCCTGCAAGGGGAGGAGTGCACTGGGGAGGAAGAAGGGACAGGCAGACAGTCAGGCGATTATCCCTGCAGGAATACAAAGGCCCTCTCCTGAGGCCCTTCTGTCATTGGGTACTGGGCAGCATACCTGCATTCACAACCACGTGGAGACTATTAGGCTGTTCTCAGCAAAATCTCCTGCTAAACCTACCCCAGCTGCCACAGCTGAAGCGTGAGAGAGAGGTTAGGACTGATGGCTGAGTTTCCCAAAATTGGTCACTTGACCTTTGTGTGGGGGAGATACAAAGGCTGGTAAAGTCAGAAGAAACTGGAACAGCTTGTCTTCACACACCTTGCAGGATGGAAAGGAACTAAATTTACAGTAAATAAAAGGGAGGGTTGTGAGGTGGAGAAAGGTGGAGATGATCCAAGGTGCAATCTGTATGGAAGATCTTTTGATTTTTCCCTCTGCAAGGGATGGGACTTGTGCAAAAACACATGGGCACCTATTCATTTCAACAGCACTTATGCCAGAGATGCCTTCCAAGGTTGTGCTGAGGTCAAGTTCAAAAGTGGGAATAGAGTATTCAATCCCCAGAATACCATATCAGGTCTGAAGGGGATCACTCAAAGGAAGGTGGGCCAAAGCAGTAGCTTTACTAACACAGCAAGTCTGGGCAGGAGGAAAAGCAGGCACACAAAAGTTATTGCTGAATGCATTTCAAAGACTACCCATTCTTAAGCAGAACAGAAGGCTAGGAGCAAGCTGGATTTACCATTCACAGTGGTTGCTACTTCAGAATTCCTATGGGCCAGTTAGGCAAAATTCACCATGTTCATGCATTATGAAGCAGAGCATGTGCTTTACATGCAGAAGAGCATAGGTTCGATCCCTGGCATCTTCCATTAAAAGGATCAGGAAGTACGGTAGGTGATGTGAAAGATCTGAGACCCTGGAGTGCTACTGCCAGTTAGATCGAATGATACTGCCCTTGAAGGGACAATGGTTTAACTACCTTCACATGTTTCATCTCACATTAGTGTCACGTCGCCCTATAAAACCCCATAGTTGTACTACATTAAGTAAGTAAACTGCAGCTGCTTTAAAAAACCCCAATGCTCTCTTTTGCTAAGAATATCACAACGTTTCCCAAGCACTGTGTGCCACCTTCTTGAAACTTTCCATACATGCTCTGTCTACAGTAAAAGGTAAAGGTTCCCTTGCTCGAAAGCCAGTCGAATCCGACTCTAGGGTTGCGGTGCTCATCTCCGTTTCAAAGCCGAAGAGCCAGCGCTGTCCAAAGACGTTTCCATGGTCATGTGGCCGGCATGACTAAACACCAAGGTGCACGGAACGCTGTTACCTTCCCACCGAAGTGGTACCTATTTATCTACTTGCAATTTCTTGCTTTCGAACGGCTAGGTTGGCAGGAGCTGGAACTAGAGATGGGAGCTCACTCCGTCATGCGGCAACTCGGGTCTTGAACTGCTGATCTACTGACCTTCCACAGCCTGCAGTTCAGCATCTTAACCACTTGAGCCACCGCAGCTCCTTCTGTCTACAGTACACCCCCTATTACTAAATCCTTCCCTATCAGTTCGCCATGGGGGCCGTATGTAACAAGCTCTGCTGATTGTTTTTATTGCTGCCTTGTAGCCTCATTTATATGTTTGGTGACACAGAAGAAAAAAATCACAAACTGTGAGTATAGAAAGTGTCGTGGGTAACTGGTACTTTAGTTTAGACAGGGTTCTACAGCTGTGAGACTTGGCATTTAGAATTTTATCCTATGTCAATCACATTTGCATCCTGTCCTTCCTCCACAGAGTTCAGGATAGCATATGTGGCTTCCATGCAACAACTCTGTAAGGTAGGCTAGGCCAAGAGAAAGTAACTGGCCCAAGACAAAATAGATATTTGAGCCTACTCCCCTCCAATCAAAGTCCAGTAATCCAGCCACAACACACTGCCTTTTTTTGTGACCTGCTTGTTGGAAATGTCAAGCTGCCAGTCAATGCAGGACATGAGTTTTTTGCTTGTTTCAAGTAAGAGCTTCTTTTTGCACTATCCCAAGCTTACGCAGGGACATCATAAACCATAGTTGTGGTTGGTAGCCATGTCGGAAAAGCAAGATTTGGGGCCGGAAGCACCTTAAAGACCAACAAAGATTTCCAGGGTATGAGCCTTTGAGAATCAAAACTCCCTTCGTCAAATACCAAAGGAAATTCGGAAGCTGCAACTAGTGCAGAATGCCACAGCCAGGCTGTTGATGGGTCTTCCTAGACGAGATCACATCCAGCCTGTGCTGAAAGCGCTGCACTGGTTGCTAGTGGCGTACCGGATTCGCTTCAAAGTGCTGGTTCTTACCTTTAAAGCCCTATATGGCCAGGGACCGGCCTACCTAAGGGACCGCCTTTCCTCGCATGCTCCCCCAAGGGCACTATGGTCAGGGAGCCAAAATCTCCTAGATGTTCCTGGCCCCAAGACCATCAAACTTGCGATGACCAGGGCTAGGGCGTTTTCGGTGGCGGCTCCTATCTGGTGGAATGAGCTCCCAGAGGAGATTCGGGCCCTGCGGGACCTTGTACAGTTCCGCAGGGCCTGTAAGACGGAGCTCTTCCACCAGGCTTTTGAGTAGGAGCCGCCACCACCACTGTTTCATCAACGTCCTATAATCTCCGCACACTACCACCGCTGGTGCGGGTACCATTGGAGGGAGCGGGACGCTCCTAGGAGACGACAGGGCAGTGGGGATATGCACTGCTGTTGTTGCATAGCTATACCATCAAGAACACCATCTTGGTTTTACGATTTGGAAGTGAGTAGGGGAGCACCGAAAATGTCTTTTTATGAATCCTATTTAAGTGTTTATCTTGTATTTTTAGTATTTTATACTGTTTTATTGTTATAATCTGGCGTTATATCTCTGTTAGCCGCCCTGAGCCTTTGGAGAGGGTGGGATATAAATCCAAATAAATAAATAGATCTCTGACTCTTGAAAGTTTATACTCTGGAAATCTTGTTGGTTTTTAAGGTACTACTGGATCTTGCTCATCAAGGAACCCTTTCATACATTGCCCAGCAGCAAATGCCTTATACTCTGCTCTGGGAGACACAGCTCTTTCCAGCACCTGGACAAGTGTACTGTATTATACAGTCACCTGCAAACATGCTGTGTTTGTTGGTTTCACACTTTCCATTTTAGAATGTGCACTTAAAACTTCTATTGTGTGTGCTTTTAAAATGTGTGGCTAATGTGGCCTGTGGTCTTCAGGACATGGCAGGAAAAACTTTCAGGCCTTATTACTGCCTGGTTTACTTCATCTGTCAGGGATTACTGCAGGCCCAGGAAACAAAATTAATTGGCTGAGCCAGGAGGCAGTTGTCATTATGGTGGCAAAACACCAGATACAAGATTAATGCCACCTTTCATTGCGCAGCTTAGGGGCCAGCCAAAATCAGAACTTTCCTTAACCCTAAAGTAAATAAGCAGGTGCGTATGTAGCCGTGTTGGTCTGAAGCACCAGAACAAAGTTTGAGTCCAGGTGCACCGTTAAGACTGACATTTGATTCAAGGTAGAAGCTTTCGTGTACTTCTTCTAAAGTGTCCATGCACACAAAAGCTTATATCTTGAATAAAGCTTTGTTGATCTTAAAGGTACCACTGGACTCAAACTTTGTTCAATCCTTCAGCCAGTACCTTTTACTTGGCCTACCCGCCATGCATTTATTTTGCATATTGTTTAGTTCTTTAGCCTGTCAGAAACGCAGCAGAGTTTATGCTCATTCTGTACCCTATCCTTAATTCAAAACGTTTTCCGTTGTAACTGGCATACTAATCCGTCTTGGGCTTTGCATCACATATGGAAAAGTTTTAGATCTTAGACTTAACTCGCCACGTTCGTAAAAGAATGACATAAATAAAGAGGAAGGCATCTGCAGTCTGCTGAATAATGGCCAAAAGACCTGGCTCATGTAACTCAATTACTTTATTTGTTTAAGTGGGTCCCACAGTATTTGTAACAATCAGAAAAAAAAACCCTGCAAGGCATGTTGGGCAACATTATGCAAATTATTCTAAAGGCAAATGGCAGCCTGGCTGCCTCCCCAGCAGAATGAAGCAGCAGCCTTTGGCCAAATACCATTGCACCTCCCAAGCCCGGAACCCTTCACCCTGAGATGCGGACTTGCATGCCTGTGCCACCCCCTGCACCCACCCAGTCTGTGCCAGGCCATCGATGGATCTGCTCTGCCTGAGAAGGCTGGAGAGTGCTGGTAGCATCTGGAGCAACTGAGCAACAGTTGAGTTGGATTGGCCTTGGTTGTACATGAATATTCTGGGATTTAGGCTGTACACTTACACTGGAGCCCACATGCAGAAGACTCCACGACAACACTGACTAGGCAGAAGGTAATGGTCATTTACAAAGCTCACTGGCCACCTGCTTGGTGTGCCCTCAGGCACCTGGAGCAGCAGAGAGCAAAGAAGTCCCTCATTTCCATCCCCCAGCCCCCACAGGAACCTGCATTTTTAAAAATAACCTAAGGGGAATTCTAGTCATGCCAAAGAGAATTTGTGCCCCTTTGAAAGATTCCTCTGTGCAGGAATCTTGCACTGTCGTGCGTATTTCTGGTCACCTCCAGGGCAGTCCCTCTTAATATTGACACAAATCTTTCTAGAAGTATTCTGCTGGGCATGTGGGCCAAAAACATTGCAGATCTGACTGCGTGTATGTGTGTGTAAGAGAAATGTGTACGTTTCACATGTTTTGTTTTCAGAAGTACATTAGGTGTCGTACGGAAACAAATCCTTCCATTCATCTGCCCATCTGGTCCAACTGCCTCCCATGGGATAGCAAGACAAAATCATCTATAAAAACAGGTTCTTCTGCCTACAGAATATTCTCCCTGAGGGAAAGCTATCCCTTTCACCCAGGACAGCAGAAATCCAGCTGGACAAGGTACTATAGTGAATACAATAAATGTTTATACATCAGTTGTTCACCTGTTCTGAGCACGTCCGGTCTAGCTTCCAGCTGCTTGGAAGCTGGTTCTGAGACCGTCCCTTTTGGTCTTCATGTCCATTGTTTATGAATTAATTAGCACTGAGGCACCTTCGCATGCATTCATTCACTCTCTCCCTCACACACACACACAAGCAAGGCATCCAGGGAAAAGAGGGACTATCAGGTACATCCTGTTTTCTTGTACAGAAATGGCCCATCTCACACACTGGCATAGCCATCAGCAAGGAATTTTGTGGGTTTTTATCTAGAGATTAGCACTTGTCCAACCAACAGGGTAAGACTGATGACATCTGTCCACCTGTTAGCATCCAGCACCTCCCTTTCCTTCTTCATTTTCTAGAGAAGCACAGGCAGGATTACGTAGGTAGAAGGGATACTTCTTGAGTTGCAAAAGCTTGCAGGCCAAGAATGATGGAAAGGTGCTGTGCCTCATCTCTCGTAATTTTGCACTGAATGAAGAACTTCTGTAATCGGACAGTACAGTTACAAAAGTGTGTTTGTCTGGGTGGGGAACAAAACAATAAGTCTCCGTAACAGCTCTGCTAAGCAGTACCTCAGTTCCAAATTATCTCGCTGTACCAATGTTCCTGTACTGACACATGAGAAGGTGCTTAAAGGTTTTTTTAAATGTAGCATTGCAAAGAGCATAGCAAGCTGGGTTGATAGTACTGTTGACATAGCACAACCAGTACCCAATAGACCAGACAGTGTCAGGGACACAATTACAGAAGGTATTAATGAGGACCATCACATTGTATGGCGTCCATGTCAGAATAAAGGCTAGCAAGATGGCAAAGATGGTTCTGGTGACTTTCTTCTCCCGGGCTGCCATTTGGCGCTTCTTCCTCACTTGACTCCTGGCAATGCTAGCAAATTTCCTGGCAACATTGGCTGGGCGGCTGTTTGACAAGGTAATTGGGGTGGAGCTGGCTTCTTTGTCTGCAACAATCTCGATGGCAGTGATGCATTCGGTGCCAGTTTGCTTAGTGACAATCTTAATTTTGGACCATTTGGATGCTGGATTAACTCTTGGGTGGGCTGGGCTCTGCCCTTGATCAGCTGTAGAAATGTCCAACACCTGCTTCTCTTTATTGGTCTGGGTGATGCTTACAGTGCTGGATTCATTGGAGGTTTCTTTCTCTTCCTGATGACCGGTGGTCTCTGATGGCTGTAAGGGCTGCTCATCAACTTTTCCATTTTTCACCTCCTCCTTGACTTCCATTGCTTTTTTGGGAGAGTTGTTGTTATTCTGCTTGACCAGTGGGCTCTTCAGAAAACTGATGGGGTTTGACTTCTTCTCCTTTTTGCTCTCAGGCTTGCGCCTTCTGACACGGCTCCGGCTTGCCAGTGAGATGTGAATGTAGAGCACAGTCATGATGACCACCGGGAGGTAGAAAGCCGCAATGGCTGTGCCAAAGGTCACAGCTGGGTTGGAGAGGAACTGAATGTAGCAATCGCCTTCCGCAACTGTCCTCTTTCCAACAATGAACTGCCAAAACAAGATGGCAGGGGCCCAAAGGAGAAATGATAATATCCAAGCAACTGCAATCATCAATCCCGCCATTTTGGTTGTCCGCCTAGCTGGATAAGTCAGTGGCTTGGTTACACAGAAGTAGCGGTCAAAACTGATGATGAGTAAGTTCATGACCGAAGCATTACTCACCACATAGTCCAAAGCCAGCCAGAGGTCACACACTACAGCCCCAAGTGGCCAATAGCCCTTGATAATATATACTGTATAGAGATTCATGGAGAAGACGCCAATGATCAGATCAGCACAAGCCAAGCTAAAGAGGAAGTAGTTGTTGACAGTCTGGAGTTGGCGGTTCACCTTGATGGAAAGCATAACCAAGATATTCCCTACCACAGTGACAAGACTAAGTGATCCAGTCACAGTGGCTATGAAGACCATTTCCACGGTCTTATACTTGGTGGTGAACTCATTATTCTTAGTGAAGTTGTCATTGGTGAGGTTGTCCATCTTTATCAGCAATGTCTAAGAAGTGAGATTGCTTGTAGAGTCTGCAGGAAAGGAGGGAGAAAGAGAAAATGGAAGAAATAGATCATTTGCAGTGCTCAAGAATTAACACAGCAAGGTAGAGGTGAGAGTTCACAAATTAACTCCTTTTTTGCAACTCCCCTTAACCAATATTACAGTGAGATACATCTGAACTATAATTTCTAGGTACTTTCTCCTTATAGGTCATCTCTTGATTTTGGCAGAAATGTCTTTTTGAAGGGTACTTATACATCACAAACTTACCCTTCTTGGCATTTGTATTTCATTCTTACCTCAACAGAGCAGGGTGATATACTTGGGATTTCCTCCATTTTGTCCTCACAATAATCCTGTAAGTAGGTTAGGCTGAGAGATCATGAACCCCTCCCCCCCCCCCAACATCATGGCTAAATGGGAATTGAGCCTAGCAATTCTTTTTCTTCTTAATTACAATAAATTTTATTTAATGCCTCCTCAAAGCACAATACCACCAATATCAGAAAAGGCTCATAGAAATACATAGTTTGTTGGCAGCATGTGGAGAAACACAAAAGAGGCACTTAGACACATCAACAAAGGCTCCAGCAGCACAGTCGTCATAACTATTTAAAATTGCTCATGATACCCAGGCTGATGAAACAAAGAGGCAGCTGGATGAAAAGACTTAATTAAACTCCACAAACACAGTGACAACCAAATGTGGAGCTGCAAGAAGTGCAGGATGTGGTAAACTATCTTTGTCCTTAAAAATGTGGTTTCCAAGGAACAACTGAACAAAAATGAACTACCATGGGTTAAGAAGAGTTGACAAGGGGGCAAGGGGAGGATACAACTATGTTGGCTTCTAAAAGTGTTTACTAGTGATGGGGAATATCTAGATTCAGTCCAAATCCACCCATCAGATTTGAGGGGTCTATTTTGACCCCTTTTCTCAGTCAGTTTGAAAGCCACAGACTGTGAAATGGGACCAAAAAGGTTTTAAAAACTTTTAGGCCCATGCCTATTCCTAATGCTATACTGTCATGTCATCTACAGTTCCCATGATGTCTAGTTGCTCTGAATGCACCATGTAGGGAAGAGCATGAATCTTCTTGACCTGTACCCTTTTAATGATAATGTAATTGTAACGATTCCTTGTTTCTGTGTGTGTGTGTCTCTTTAAAAGTTTGGTTGCATGGCTGTGGTAGATAGACAAGAGTGGTTGAGAGAGGCAAGTGTGGTATGATGGGTGGCTGACAGAGACGGGGAGGGGCTTTGGAAGTGAATCTGGCTGGATGAGTATGTGAGTCAGTCAGGAGTTTCAGTTAGATGTTGACAGTTGATGTTCAGACAGTTGTGTGTTGAGGCAGTTAAGCTGACTGTTGATGTTGTTCAGAGAAAAAGGAAAAGAGATCTAAAAGCTGAATGTCTAGGAAAAGTAAAGTAAAGTTTAAGTGAAGAAAAGTTATAGGAAAGTCTGTGTGTCATAACAGACTGGAGTGAAACAGTAAACGTATATGGCATTGAGATAAACAAGTGTTACAAAGTTACATGCAAAGATCCCTGTCAGTGAGAGAGAAGATTGTGTGGGATACCAAAGCAATTGTTCAGTATTTACACATTACTAGTTACATTGTACTACCCTCTTATTTATGCTTTATTTTAATAAGTCCTCTTTATTTTAATAAGTCCTCATTCAAGTATACCAGCTCAGAAAGAAATACTTCCCAGGACCACATAGTTCCTCGTAAGCCTTAAACTCGGTCTACCAAACTAGTAAGAGCAACAGTACAAGCATAAAGGTTTGAAAATCCTTAAAATTTCCTGGTGGCAGCAGATTATACCCAGTTAAACAAAATAAAGAGAACTTTTAAAGGGAAACCAGTCCTCCCCAATAAGGAGGACATCACAGTAATATTTTTAGAGCAGCTGAAATTCTCAATAAAATATGAGTCCTCTTTCAAAGACCGCATAGAGAGGAGAGAGCTATAAGAAAAACTAAAACAGTTACAAATAATATTAGTAATAATATCAAATTATAACTTCTAAATTTTTCTAATGGCCTTGATTTTGTTATTGGTATAGTACCCATCCTCCACCTTACTAAACCTGGCAAATCAGTGTGCTTTTGGAATTAAAATGTAATTAAACAGCCTTCAAAAACATCTGTCCTCTGCTATTAAAGATATTAATTTCAGAGTTGTTTATGGGCCAAGGAAGTTCTAAAACTTTCAAAAATTTATCTCAAGTCCCTTTTAAAGGTGTCCATGTCAAACCATGCAAGTTCTTCTTTTTCTGTAGATATACAGGAGTCACTATCTTTATTGTTAGCATTATCGATAGAGATGCTTTGGTCCTTGCTTTGTATAAGAGACCTATGTGAGGACTTGTTGGCTTTAACTTGAGATGTTCTGCCACTAACTGTTGTTTCCCCCTTTGATGCATCATCCTTATGGTTGGCTGGCAAAATTGTACCCAGTTTCATCACTTTATTCACTATTACAACATTCTGACATATGAGGAATTGCTTAAAATATACATTTTACATTTCTGGTGTAATGTTATGCTGTGAAGAGTCAAGGAGCTATCAAACAGTGAATGGGTTACATGGAGCCTGGTTTTGGGCAGAACAAACTTCTCCACAGGGTAGCTGTGTGTATGCCAAGGGGCACACATTGACTTATAAGATTATCCCATGAATCCCCATGAATCAACAGTAACAGGGAAAGCTGTAATTTTTTTTGCATTTTCAGTGGCATGCATTTTATGTAATTTCCTTGATTTGTTTGTTTGTTTAAAACATTTATGTCCCCAGCCTTAAAACACAGAACTGGTCCCGGGCTAGCAAAAAGCAATCACAAATGAAAAAAATGTAATGTACAGAAGCATAAAGCAGTACAATAAACCAGAACACCAAGCTGTGAAAACATTAAAACCAGCAATTGATCCTACAATTAAAAGAGCAGAACTAAACCCAAATTTAAAACCATGTTTAAAATCAGAAGTGGCAGCAGCAATCCATCCATAATACAGAAGGGGGGACTTCTGGTTTATGGGGACACGCAGGCAGACGCATCTCCCAGATGTCCCGGGGATGTAATCTGCACACCAGTGTGTGGGGGGCCCGGCGGGTTTTCACCCCCCCCCCCGGAGCCTTGCCAAAAGGCTCCTAGCCATGGGGCTTTTGAGGGACAACCTCTTCACTGGCATGATACCGGAGAATTGAGGCGCTCCTCCGCCCCGAAGGTCCTGCCGCTGAGAGTCCACATGGACTCAGAGCCGCTGACTGGGACAAGCGTCAGAGATCGGGTGAGATAAACGGATGCTGAGCGTGGCCGGATGGCCGGCAACGAACTGTGAGTCGGGTTGAAGCGAGCAGGAGGATTTTTTTAAAAAGCTGCCCCCCTTGAGGAGCGACGAAAAGCGAGCAGGGTAGGGGGCCCTCCCAAATGCATAAATGAAAACACGAAAATAAAGAGGGGGAAGCGGAAGAATAAGCGTTTAAATATGTTTTAAGAGACTTACCTGAGCACAGATAAGCGCAAGGGCGAATTTCAGAGAATTTCAGAGACTTTAGCAACTTTCAGAAAAGTAAATAATCTAAAAAAATGGTGGGGAAGAAACCAGATAAAGACACTGTTGAAAGTGAAACTAGTAAGCAGTCCTCGAACGGAAGAGACCACTGAGCTTTCCAAAATGCTGGCAGATTCCTTGTGCCCTCTGCTGGACGAGATGACTAACATCAAGCAACAATTGTCAACAATAGGTCAGATCTTTGCTTCACAGCAGCTACAACTGACTAAATCTTTAAAAGCAACAGAGCAAATGGCCGAGAAGGTGAAGGAAATGGATGCCAATACTACAAAAGTTAAGAAAAAGGTGCAAAAGCTGGAAATGAAACAAGCTACGGAAGAGTCACAACTTTTACAGCTGCAAATGGAGAAAGCAAATTTGGTCCTACGGTTCCAAGGGGTCCCAGAATCCAAAGGAGAGAATCTGAAGCAACTGTTGAGTGAAGCAATAGCCCCAATGATTTGAAAGCGGAATATCTTTACAGCGAGATGGATGTGGTCTACAGGTCATATTCCTCATACATCAAGAAGAATAATCTGCCTGGGGAAATAGTAGTCAGATTCTCGAAGAGACATGTGAGAGACTCTATTTTGAAAGCAACTACAGGAACACCCTTGAAAATCTCTCCTTATAAATAATTGAGTAAGAACATTCTATATGAACATTCTAAATTTGGCCCCTTTAGTGTATGGACGCTTGAACTGTCAGTCAGAAGACACTGGCTGGGTTGACTGGCTGCTTTGTGCAGTCCCACCCAGCGTTTCAAGGTCTTTTGCATATGGAAGCTGATTGGACTTCACTGCATTCCACACCTCAAACTCACCCCCCTCCCCGCAAGGCAGTTGGAATGTCAGTTGCATATGGAACCTTCAAGGTCTTTTGCATATGGAAGGGGGGGGGGGTGTAAAGACAGACAGGCAGATAAACGTTGGCTGATGGTTGCCAACTCCAGGTTCAAACTCCAGGACATAGGGTTGCCAACTCCAGGTTGGAAACTTCCAGGATAGTTTAGGAATGAAGCCTGCTGAGGGTGGGGTCTGAGGAGGAGGAGGAGGAAGAGAAAGAGGAGGACCTCAGACAGATACAATGCCATACTCCCCACCCTCCAAACAAGCTGTTGCCAGTCTCCAGGTGACAGCTGGAGAGCTCTTAAAGCTCTGGTGCTAATTCAAAGTGCTGCAATTTGTCGACAGAGTAGTGTTTTGGCAAATCTTTAGGAATTGTTTGGTGCATTTACGATGAGGCACCCACCCAGAGCCTCTGGCATTTTCTCACTCTGCTGGCATCAAAACCAATTTAAGGCAAAATAAGAGGCTACTGAGAGGGGAGGAGATAAAGTTGCCAGCTTTAGGTATGGAAAATCCTGGAGATTTGAGGAGTGGAGGCCGGAGCGGGGGACCTCAGACAGGTTACAGTGCCATAGACTCCACCCTCCAACCCAGCTATTTGCTCCTGGGGAACTATTGTTGCCAATCTTGGCCCAGCACCCATCAAACCATTCTCTTCAACCCCCTGCTGTGCAGCTGACTTTCCCCTAGGGTTGCCAATCTCCAGGTGGGACCTGGAGATCTCCCACTGCTACAATTGATCTCCAGATGACAGAGATCAGTTTCCCCTGGAGAAAATGGCTGCTTTGGAGGGTAGACCCTATGACATTATACCTGCTGAGTCCTTCCGCCGCCCCCCCCCCCCCAATGCTGCCCTCTCCAGAATCCACCCCCCAAAACTCCAGGTATTTCCCTCCTTATAGCTGGCAACCCTACTTTCCCCTCAGTGCCTGTTGGTAGGCAACTAAGTTTGGTCCAGTCACCTACTTTGCCCTTTGGGAGAAAACATATTGGGGCCAATCCTGATAGGGTTGCCAACTCCCGATGGGAAATTCCTGGAGATTTGAGGGATGGAGCCTGAAGAGGGTGAGGTTTGAGGAGGGGTGGGACCTCAGACAGGTACAATGCCATAGACTCCACCCTCCAAACCACTCAGTCCCTCATGGGGAACCATTGTTGCCAATCTCCAGGTGAGGGCTGGAGACCACTCAAAATTACAATTGCTCTGCAGAAGGGAGGGCGGAAGTCAGCTGAAGTCAAAGGGGCAGATAATGGTAGGTTGATGGTTAGCTGCGAAGGAGATGGGGTTGCCAACTCCAGGCTGGCAAATTCCTGGGGATTTGAGGGGTGGAGCCTGGAGAGGGTGGGGTTTGCGGAGGGGTGGGACATCAGACAGGTAGAATGCCATAGACTCCACCCTCCAAACCAGCCATTTCGTCCTGGGTAACAATTGTTGCCAATTTCCAGGTGAGGGCTACAGATCACTCAAAATTACAACTACTCTTCAGGGAGCAGAGATCAGTTCCTCTGGAGAAAACAGTGGACTCTGTCATTATACCCTGCTGAGGTCACCACAGCAAAATGACACTGTTTGCCCAAAGCCAGAGCACTCCCCCAGAGCCTCTTTCTAGATCTCGTTGTATTTATTTCCACAACGGGCTTTACTGCTAGTTTGAAATAAGACAGAAGAGAAAGAAATATAAAGACTTAATCCCTTTTCTACAAATAAAGGGCATCAGTTACAGATGGTTAATTCCAGAATGCATCATTTTCAAACTCCACGATAAAAAAGAAAAGATTGACTCTGTTCCTAAAGCACGTGAGTTTCTGAGAACACAGCTGGGGGAACCAGCTGAGGACAAGAAGGAAGAAGAAGAAAGCAAATCTGATGGCGAGTTAGGCTCAGTGTCTTTTGACGAGGACTCTCTTTCTGAAAAGGGGGCGGCTGCCCACAAAAGTCCATATAAATTGAGGATAAGAAAAGATAAGAGAAAATAAAGGCTGAAGGACTCTGAATTGTGCCTGAAAATTCTGTAATAATTTTGGGATGCTTTGAGGGTTTCATTAAACAGATAAATGGATGGTTAAAAGATAAATAACCTAACATAACCGACTATGTTCAATGTATTACTAGCATTTTAGATTAACATTGAGATAAGCTGATGTACTGATCTCCCATTCTTGGGGTTTTAGTGGGTTTCTTTTCTTTCTCCCTAGATGTAGTTTCCCTTCCTATATTTTCAGTTATAGTTTTTAGTCTTGTGAAAAAACCAATTAAAAACTCCCCTTAGGGGGATAAAAAAATAATAATACAGAAGGGGGGGAATGAGACAAAACAAAACCATCCTCACCTGTGAGACTGGAGGATATGAAAGTCTTTACGATACGTGAAAGGCAACAACTTCGGTGTCAGGCAAGTGACCAAGAGGAGGGCAGGCCAGAGCTGGGGTACCACTACTGAACAGCCCTACTCCCGGTTACCACACACCTTAGTTCTGGGAAAGGCATGCCACAGAGCAAGGGCTCATTATCACTGCAATTACATGGCAAACTGCAGACCATGTCCATCAGCTATATTTATTCTGCAATTGTTGCCCTGAAATAGCTGCAGAGTCCTGAAAAAAACTTGATATATTTTAGTCTGTGTATCACATCTGTATCCCTGTTTTGGTCTGGCGACCACAGAAAAGTAAGGCAAACCACAAGGGGGAGGGAATCCCAAATGTCAGGTGCCACCACTGAAAAAGCCCTGTCTCTGGTTGCCACCTCACCTCTGAAGACAGACAGCAGGATTTAGGAAGAAGATCTATCCTGTCAGGCAGGACACTATGATTCAGATTGGGGTGATGACACAGGAGGGAGTGTAAACTCTTTGCCTCATGCTGTTTTTACAATTTGAATCACACATGCATACCACATTGCTATTATTCATCCTATGGTGTGGTGAGAGGCAAGTCAACCCTCTTTTTTCCTCTGTAATAAAGACATACTGTGTAACCAAAACCCTACCTGGTTGGAAAGCACAGTATGGGAAGTGGATATCACATCCACATCAAAATCTGACATGTCCAGTTGTA